ACAGGCATTACAAATCCCAAATAAATTCATGCTTTAAGGCATGAGGTTGCCTCCATTCTTCACTGATCTAAACAGGCCTGTGAGAAGGTGCTACTCTTGCAGGCAGGGCCGTGGGAGCTTGGCTCTCAGGGGCTGTGGTCTCCTTGGTACTGCTGTGTTCAGTGCTTGTGATGGGCAGCTGGGTGGCATCTGGGGTGAAGTCACTGAGCTGAGCATGTCTGGGCTCCTCTGGCTTGAAGCTGGCCTTATTCACTCCACAAAAGAGGCTTTGAAAAGTTGATTGCTTAGGCTTTAACTTTTCCAGAAAGGTTTCTCTGTTAAAAGCTTCTGGTTAGAAATACCAAACCCTGTTGTTGCTAAGATTAAGGTATTTGTTTCTTAGAAATGGCTTATAAGCCGAGACCAGCACACGGATTATTTCTCCTTCTTTAGCCAAGTGGAGCGAAGGTGCTTCAAGTAAATTTGGTTTCCAGGAGGCTCAATTTTGCATGTGATTTTGATAATGATTTTGGGGAAGGAAGGGTCAGATCTAATTTTTTATGTTTGTAACTCATATGGGAAAAAAAGAGAAAAGCAGTACTTACCACTAACGCATTGAGGGGTTAAGCTGTTTTAAATGAAGACAGAAAAAACAGCTACTGTGGTTCAGTAAAAATTTAGAATGTGTTTTATTTTTGCATACTAATGAAAAAATGGAATATTATCAGATTTATGGATTTTGCTTTTCTGGAACAGGGGTTTTTTTCCTCATTTTTTCCTGTGGTTCACCACCCCCTTCCCTCCCCAAGGCTAATGCCATAAGCAAAATAAAATCTGACTAATTAAGAAGACCTCAGGAAGATTGTAAATACCTGTCAGGAAACAAGAATGTTTTTTGCTGTTGCTAAAAATGACCTTAAGTGCGACCTGGAAAAATTGTGCTTGTAGTTTGTGAACGAAGTCAGTAACCATGCTGTGGTACTGCTGGCCTTATTATGAAATGCACATCACAGATTGTGTCTAATTGCACACCGTGGTTTTATGGTATCTGTAGCTACTGATCCAAGACTCAGATGTCAGATATCAGCACTCTTGCTATAGTTAAATGCTGCTGCCATGTAATAGATTTTGTTTATCTCTCTTCCAGCTTCCAAATTGCTGTGTCTTGGGTCAGTGGCCTAAGTTCAATTTTCGTAAATTCCTGGCTGATGTTATTAGCTCTCCTCTTTAAAAACCAGGATGAATTAATGTTGCATTATTCCCCATTCAGGGAAGCATGGCCCCAACTTTTATCATTGTCACTGGGCTTGCTTGTGCCAGGTTTCAGTAGAAGATGATTGTGGAATTCCTTCAGGAGGGTGCATCCATCCCTTTGCTTACATGAAGTGGGAGTTTTCTGCTGATGTTCACCGATCGTGCAGGATTGCTTTATCCCTTTGGAAGAAGATAGACCTATGATGTGGAGAACAGATACATCCTCATTTCTCCCAGCTTCAAATGCATATGAGCTTGAGATGTACTTACAAACAAAATGTACAATAAAAAAAAAACAGATATGTTGCTAAAGTTCAAGTGTACAGTGCTGATGCCTCAGAGAGCATCACCACTACCTTACCATCCTTAGTCCTCTTGGTCAGTTCTCCTTGTGCCTACCAGATTCCAAACACCATGATCTGCTTCTATTGTGCCAGAGGGCCCTTGTGGTGCCCATGCCTGGATGGAGCCTTCTGCAATGCCCTTTCACCCTCCCCTTTCATGCCAATAGCAATGGTGTCCTTCCACCAGTCCACCAGAATGAGATACTGCTGAAAGGGATTGTGTGTGTCCAGTCCTGTACCTGTTTTTCAGACAGTCAGCACTGCATAGAGCCACTTTCAATCTTTGGCATACGTGGTGGCAGCTGCCAGGAAAAGAACTAAAGTGCTGGGCTCCTTGCTGCACTTCATTTTCATGCAGCCCTGTGCTGCTTCCTGTTTCCAGTTTCACAACAGTTTTTGCAGAGTGCTTTGTTCTTCCCCTATGCACTTGGAACTGGCAGTAAAATGTGGATTGTTCTCAATGTTTAGCATCAGGTCCTACATGTGGGAAGTGATTTATCAACAAGATTACAGGCTGGAGTACTGTGGAAATTGGACTCCAAGGTGCCATAATTCTTTGGAAAATGCCAGCCACTGTAGGCTTTACCTCCCAGCGGCTGTCCATTATTGATAGCCTTATTCTAATATTATGTTTATGTTGTAAACAATGACCAGCTTCTCAGCTTTATACTTATACAGGTGCAGCTAATTCAAGTTTTGATTTGCATACTCATTTCTGTGCTTTCATGTCAGTCCCCTCTTCCTCCGCCCACAGTCCTTTTTTTCTTTTTTTTTTCCTTTCATTTCATGCAAGAAAACTGATATCTCTTCCAAGAAAGAACCTCAAAACTGTCCATGCAAAGTAGTGCCATAAGAAGTCATAATCACTAAGATATTCTTCTGGAAACATGGAAATGTCAATGTCTAAAACATTCTGATGTGACAGATGAGATAGACAGGCACTTGGGCCAGTTCTACAGTACTATGGAATCTTTGTGTCATTGATAGCTCATGCTGCTGCTCAGTGGCAGAGAGAAAAAAATGTTGTAGTTCTCCTGGGATATTTTTTAATTACTGGCAAGGGAAAAGAATAATTAGCACAAATGTCCACTTTAAGATATCCAGCCTTTGTTTTTTTTTTTTCACAGCAGGGCTACAGGCTGCGTTACAAAATGTGCTCAATGGGCTGATGTGCCTGTTCTTGAACTGACAACAAGGAATGAAGTGGTATTTCAGTCTGTCCACCTGCCTTCTCTTATCTTCTTAGCTCCACACCAGAGCTTGCTGGCCCATAAACATTGGTGATGCTCCTAGTTGTTAGACAGCCAACCCACTGAACCTGGACACCCTAAATCCCCTTGGGCAACGTCAAAGGTCTCAGAGACAAAGTTAGTGGGACAAAGAAAATGAGAAATTTGACATATGTTTCCCATGACCCCATGAAACTTAGAGAAGTGCAAGACTAAATTGCTCTTTGCATTTTTTTACTTTATATCCTGTCTGATCTGCCTGTCAGGGCATTGTCTCTTTCCCTGAGAAACTTAACAACAGCAGGGACTGAAAAAAATAAAAGTGGTTGTACTGCTTGGGAGCTGCAGTCAGTAGTCCCACTAAAGCTGGAGGTATGGAGACTTCTAAGACAGGCTGTTATCTAGAAGCTGCAATAAAATAACTGAGAAGTGATCAAGTGTAAAGTTTACCTATAACTGTGCCAGCCTGTTTTAAATTAGCAGAATTCCTATTGACTTCACCAGGAACAAGTTTGGGCCTTGAGTTATTTGGCTGATAAATATTCAGCAAGACTGAAGGAAAAAGGGTCTAGGTTTTTTTTGATTCTAAGATGTTATTAATGTCCAACCAGGATGCTGTTTAATCTTCAAATAAATACCAGCACTCAGAACACATCAATTGTTTGTATTCTGAGCTCTGTGTTACACTTATTCACGGACAGGGAAATTACAATGAGAATAATCATTGTCAGAATACTAATGTGATGTAAACTAGTGTAGAGATATTTATTCAATAGAATGCAATTACCAGCAATACTCTATTTTCTGAAGAGTGTGACTGTAATCCAATTTAGGCTGTTTAACCCCTGGTGATTTGTTTCCGTTTGTATTGTGATAGGCTGAAAACAGGCAGGATTGCTGGGAGCAGCAAAAGGGAGAGTAAGGGGAAATAGGACCCCATGTAATCTTAGATCTTAATGACTTTACTAAATCTACATAACCACAGGGCTGTTCTTCATGGTTGTGTTGCTAATTGAATTTTAAAATAAGGGTAGATCCTACATTCACTTTCTCCCAACATTTCATTTTCTGACAAATGCTTAGTCACCAGTTTAAAAAATCCTTTATGACTTCAACCTGAAGTTACATCAGGACCTTGGATTTCATATAAGACAGGATTCTCAGGTCCATGGTGGAGGCAATTGATTAATAAGATATTCAAGGTGACTTTCATGACCAACTTCTCTTGCAGAAGTTTTTCTCTACTGCAGGAGCTGCGGCAAGATCCCATGGGCAAAGGGCAGCTTCTCTCCTTCAGAGAGAGGGGCATCACGGGAAGGACAGAGCGTGGGGACCTTGCTGCAGGCACTTTCTGAAGACTAAAAACCTTCAGCTAGACACTGGTACACTCATTAGCACAGAGGAGTCCCCCTGAAACTAGCACAGTTTCTGTGCTTCTGAAAGTAGCACAGGATATCTTATCAGCACAGATAAAAGTCTTGGGATCTGGTCTTTAAATAAAAGAAGTGCCCGAGTGATCTTGTTTTAGGTACAGAAGGATATTTTGTAAACACACAGAGATAGGTGGGGAAAACCTCTGTCCATTTGATACAGAGTTTGCTAATGGCGATGGCAATTTCTCCAAGACAGGCAGCATTCAAGCAGAAAGCATTGTGCAACTTCTACCAGACTAGAAAGCACAGAAAACCAGTTCTCTCCAGAGCAATGGGCCCTGGAAGGGAACCTCAGTAAGATTTCCAGCTTTAGGGCTTTTCTTCAGGTTTTTGTGTCATTTAAGCACCTGCCTTGGGCAAAAGATGCCAGCTGGGGTTTACCCACATATGTTATTGGTTCATGTTGCAATATAAGAGGGAAGCAGAAATGAGTGGGTAAGAACTGCACAGTCAGGACAGAGTGGTCCTAACTCCCAGGGATTCTGCATATGGGAGATTTGCAAAATTAGTCCCTTAGTATTTCCAGCAGCCATTCAGCCATAAAAGCAGTGACTGAAAAACACACAGTGCAGCTACTGTTCTTTTAAGTCCCAGTCAAGCTGTTTATTTTTTAATATAATTTGTCTTGTGAGTTTGTATGAGGCATGCCTCCCCAGTCGTTTACCAAGAGTGCTGTGGAGATTCCTGACAGCACAACTTTGTGTTGTCACAGTGTCAGTGAGCTAAGAAAGAAGGCAGTTGTGTTTCCTACAACAGTTCTTACCCGGGCCCAGTTGGATTCAAACTGAAATGCAGTGGGAGCTTTGTACATCTGTAACAGAAGAAACACCTGCAGAACAGACTGTCAGGTGAAAATTTTCTTCTCTCTGGACTAGTTTTCATCCAAGCTGAATTCTCTTTGCTAATGTTCACAGACCATGTTACTTTCACTGGTGTAAAATAAAGGGAATCAGAGTCTTTCTTTCCTTAGCTGGTAAAACATTGTCCAACACGTGGCTGCAAAACAAACCTGGCTGCACAATGCCCACCTCCTTTTGCAGTGCCATTCCCTTTAAGCAATCAGCTCAATTTGAACAAATTGCAGCACACGGCCTCTGTGAAAAGCCAGACCCTCTTTGCCACTTCTCATACCACCAAGCCTTGAAAGGCCAGTGTTTTACAGTGAAGTTGAATATCGGTTTCTATTCAATACATATGAAATATAAAATTAATCATAGTTCCATCTGAGACAGTTTCCACTGATCACAGACCATCATAATTCCTACAGACTGATTATAGGGATTTTAGTTGATGAAGATTCTATATACAGATTTTGAGGTAATGTTTTTGGTTACGAAGATACCATACCATTTTACATGGGAGAAAAGACTGACCTCTGCCTGGCTACAACCTCTTTCAGGTGCTTGTAGAGAGTGATAAGGTCGCTTGTAGAGAGTGATAAGGTCTCCCCTGAGCCTCCTTTTCTCCAGGCTAAACACCCCCAGCTCCCTCAGCCACTCCTTGTCAGACTTGTGCCCCAGACCCTTCACCAGTTCCCAAGTTGCCCTTCTCTGGGGGCTCCAGAACCTCTGTCTTTCTTGCAGTGAGGGGCCCAAAACTGGACACAGCACGCAAGGCCTCACCAATGCTGAGTACAGGGGAGCAATCACTGCCCAGGTCCTGCTGGTCACACTGTTGCTGATACAAGCCAGGATACCATTGGCTTTCTTGGCCACCTGGACATCATCATCATCATCTGCTGGCTTATGTTCAGCTGGTTGACCCCCAGGTCCTTTTCCACTGGGCAGCTTTCCAGCCACTCTTCGCCAAGCCTGTAGTGCTGCAGGGGGTTGCTGTGATCCGAGTACAGGACTCAGCACTTGGCCTTGTTGGCCAAGTTGGACTATTGATCTCACCATCTTTTTTGAATGGGAAACCCTAATTCCTATGTGACCATCCTCAGAAACTTCTGTACTTTCTATCACATCAATAACCTTTGTGTCTTTGTTGACACATGATCTCCATTTCTACCTCCACTGACACAGGAGACTGAAGGACCTTGCTGGCGCACTGTCCCTCAAACATTGGCCTGATGCCAGGCTTATCTCTAGTGATCCTGATTTTATCCCTTTCCCCCTTCAACTTTAGCTTAAAGCTCTTTCAGTGAGCCCTACTATCTCCTGCACAGTTCCTTTTCCCTCTTTGAGACAAGCATACCCAATATTTCCAGCAGGCCTAGTGTCATGTAGACCAGCTCATGAACAGAAAACACAAAATTCAGTCAGTGACAGCAGGTTCAGAGTCAGGTATTGGGCTGCTATTCTTCCTATTTCTTCCCCCATCATTCCCTGCAACTGGAAGGCTGGAGTGTCGCATTAGGAACGGCGAGAAGAGCAACACAGACTCTCATGGAGTCAATTAGGAGAATTTCTCTTAGTTTACTACTTCAGGTCTGTTTTATAGACTGATACGTGGAAAGTACAGAAAGGAAACTCTTATTGGTTAGCAAACTACTACATCACCATCATTGGCAGTGGGGCACACCACCCCCTGACTTTCTCCTGCAAAGAAAACAAGGGACAGAGAAACAACACCTGCAAGGCTGTTTTCTGTCTCTGATGATTGTTTTAAATCCTCCTTAAAACTTCCCAGGCAACTTTCTCAGGCAGGACTTGAGAAAGTTATGTGGCCTGCAATTCTACAGGCACTTTGCTGCCTGCTTCAGTTAGTATCCACAATGGAGAACACTATTTGTGCTTCAGATGTTCAACTGCAACCTTACTGTAATTTGCAGTGATGAATTCCTATTTTTAGAAGTAAGTATGGAGACCAAAATCCTTATTTGAGAGGATGGTAGGAGCCATATTTGGAATCCAGTTAGATCTCAAAGTTTGACAGTCCAAGTAAATTTTTCACCTGAGAAAGCCAAGTGTTCTGCAGAGGCTTAAATGGGAATGTGTGATAAAGAGTTTTTAGAGAAAGAGTTCAGTAGGCAGGAGGAAAAAGAAAAAGAAACACATTATTAATGTTTCAGATTATCCATGTAGAAGCAAAATAAGGTGAGAGATGAAGTTTCTGCATACTGTTCATCACTGTCATGGTCTGAAATGTCCTGGTGTGTACTCCAGGCCATATGAGGAAGCTCTCTTCACCTGCATCTGATAGTCTCGTTCCAGGACAGTTCCTCCTCATGTTTCCCCTTGTTACTGTCAGTGTAATGCTGCAGAAACAGCTGCAGGGGAAGTGTTTGCCATTCATTTGGTGACAGAATTGAACATGGAAGGATCCTATACTTTTGCACAAAAAGGATTAAAGAAATACCCCTTCACCTCCTCCTCCTTCAGAAAAAGTAGCCACTGAGGAAGGTTGAGGAGGGACATAAAGATGAGGAACTACTGAGAATTTGTGCACTTTTATGTGCTCACCTATTTGCTGGAGTTGTGGCCATGAGTTTTGGATCTTTGCTGCTTTAGGACTGGTGCATTTGTCATCAACTTTCCCTCTAAGGCTTCATTCATAAATCACTTTTGGAGCGTGAATAAGCCATGGGGATGCTTTAATAAATGGTTCCTCACATAAAGTTTTATTCCTCTATAATGATTAGCTTATTAGTAAATCCCTGATGGCATTACTAAGGAGGTCATTATCATTATCCCTGTTTTATATCTGCAGAAACTGAACCAGAGGGAGGAAAAGTCACCACTAAGATTTGTGGATGCAAACTCCTGAGTACATGCTTTCTTCAGCAGGTCACAAGACTAAAAGAGGCTTGAAAGAAATGGTTAATCAACTGGTTAATGAAATCATTACATCAGAATGCAACAGGACAGTGATATCTTCTCAGAAAATATTTAAAACCATAAAGAGTTACTTGCATCTCTGATCAGTTGTCAACATTTAGTAGCCCAATCTCTTCATAGAAGCTGACTTAAAATTCACATAATATAGAGTTCATCTTTAGGAACCTGCATAGGTTGTGTGCTGTCAGAATTTGTGCCGTCATCTCCTGATATGTTAAAAAGAAACTGGCATGCCATTTACTAAGTTTTTTATTCAGAGGCATCCTTTTTATTCAGCTTGTTCCTGATCATTTTGAAAATAGTTCTAGTACACTTGATTGTTTTAACAGTGCATTACTGGCCACAGAAAAATCTACTCCTGTCTCAATAAAAAAGACAACAAAATGCAAAGTGGAGTTAAACCAAACTAGATGTCATGAAGGCTGCTGCAATGATTGCATCATACATTTCAAATTCAGTGAAAGACTTGCATGCCTTTTTCTGACAGCAGCCAGAGAGGATTTCCAATATATAAGGATTCTTCTTCAAATAGAAACCTACCATGCCCAGCTACACATGAGTGGATACAAGGTGGAGAGAGAAGTTTAGACAGAGAGTACTTCATTGTATAGAACTATAGAGTCATAGAATCTTTAAGGCTGGATCAGACCTCTCAGATCATTGGTCCTACAGTTAGCCTAGCACTACTCTGTTCACCACTAATCCATGTCCCCACGTGCCATAGCACACATTTTTGAATGCTTCCAGGGAGGGTAATTCCAGCACTTCCTTAGTCAACTTGTCCCAGTGCTTTTGCACCCTTTGCGTGGAGAAACTTTTCTTTATATCCAATCTAAACCTTCCCTGGTGAAACTTGAGGCCATTTCCTCTTGTCCTATCATTTGTTACCTGGGAAACCAACCCGCACCTTGCAACAATATCCTGTCAGGAAGTTGTAGGGAGTGATAAGGAGCCTCCTTTTCTCCAGGCTTAGCCCCCCTCAGCTCCCTCAGAGCTTGTCAGAGGACTTGTGCTCCAGACCCTTCACCAGCTCCATTGCTCTTCTTTGGGCATGATGATACTGAGACTGCAATTTCTTCAAGCAGGCTCAGGCTCTGGGAATTTACACTACTTAAAATTCAGTGCAGTAAAATTAGTGTAAATTTAGTACATCACTGAGCATCTTCCCAATTCCTTTTGTAGTGAATGGTGGGGAAAATAGATACTTGTGATAGGTATCATGTCATCTAATGTGCTGAGCATTGGGTCCTCCAAACCAATCAAGAAGCAAATATAAAAAGAAATTTGAGAGCCTGTCGTCTGGGCTTATTGGTCCTGTTACTCAGAGTCTGAATCCACTCTTAAACTAAGATCATGTGTTTGGAGACTCTTAGAATACTTCTGACACCATTTTTCCCATTGGCATGGTGAAAGCACCCAGTCAGAAGGTAGGATTTGAAGGTTTGGGGTCCTTCTCCACCTGAGGAGGTTTGACTCTGTAACCTCTCAACTCCCTAAAAAGCCTTGAACATCAGGGTGTAACAGAGTCTAAAAGGGCAGTGGGGTGAACAAAGGTGCCCTCTGCACTTCACCAAGTCACAGGATAGCCAGGGGTTCATTGCTGCAATGGAAAGACCAGTTCAGAGAGGGCAACCTCCACTGCAGCCTGTGCCAAAGCTCCTGTCTGATTCCTGGATCTCTGCTTGCTGCTCTGAGATTTTTTTTTTTTCCTGGTTACTGTTTTTATTCTTTAAATCCAGGCTCTCTAATGAGGAATGTGTAAAGAGTTGTGGGAGCAGTGTAGATTCTTCAGGCTGTCCCTTGCCAGCTGAATATGCAGAAAGCTCACACACCATCGTGTTGCTCAGGGGAGCTGGTTAAGGTAGGATTGTGTGTATGAAATGGGCATAGTTAATGCCTGTGAAGTAGTTTAAAACATCTAAGGGGAACTCAGACTCAAAACCTCCTGCTCCAGTGTGCTGCAGAAACCTGAAAGGTCCTCTGGGGGGAATTGTCATCCCCCTTGGTCCAAAGACTGCCTGTAAATTGGTCCCTTCAGTGGAGTTTTTGCATGTGCAGATAGCTGACCACCTCCTGCAACACTGAACAAAGAAGTGCAAGGCAAATTCCAGTGCTTGGAGTGTGACATGAAGAGTTTGACATGCTGCTAAGGAAGCCACACATCCCTATAATGACTTAAAATTCCATGCCTGGCAACCAGGTGCAGGGGGTTAATTAGGCTCATAAGCTGGGAGAGCAGGGAGACCTTTGGGAGAAGCTTGTAGACAAGCAGCAAAGCATATGACCTCATTTGAATTTTCCTATTAGATTTCCTGCAGAGATCTCAAAAGCATCCTCTGATCACTGCCTGAAACTGTTTAGGTTTCACATTTGCAAACACAAGGAATCTCCATTAGATTCTGAAGCTGCTGCACATGTTTTAAAAGATCAAGCTGATGATTATGACAAGCAAATAGATCCCCCCCACCTCCTTTGGTTTGTTTGGACTAATGACTCTCTTGACTCTTGGGGTAAACAATCTGCCATTCCTCCTTTAGAGCTCTTGTGGTGATGCAGGTTGGAGCTGAAATGGGTGAGACTGGCACTGCTGGACATAGGGCTGTGTTTATATGAGGCTTTATATTCTCCAAAAAGGCTGCAATAGCAGCCTGAGCTGTGTCTCTGTCATCTGCAGCTCCTTTGGCTGCAGTGGGCTTTTGTACAAGTGTTTGGTGTTTCTCTCCTGTTCATAAGTTAGTGTCCTGTCCTTCTCCTCCCCCACCAGGCCACAGCTGTAGTGCCAGTCCAGCACATTTCAGTCCTGCAGCCTTTTGGTTGGAATAGGAGAGATTTCCCCAGACTAAAAGGTAGCTAGTCTGAGCCTATGCAAAAGTCTTTGCTGGAGAAGGAAAAGATAAAAACAGGAAGGGGCCATAACTTGAAAGCCAGCACCAATCCAGCACCAAATCTTTTTCAGTCCTTCCTCCGGTTGATGCAAACCCACTGCTGTTCAAGGGGGTCCTTCCACTGGCCATAATGACCTCTGGTTTCACATCAGCTCCGGGAGAGCACGGGAGGGAGAAGGGGGGTGCTCGTTGCCGTGTCCAGTTGCAGCACATGTCACTGGAGAAGTGTAAGGGGAGTCTCACTGGAGTGCCCCGGTCCCTCCTGTCCCAGATGCACGTTTTGCTTCTGCACATTAAAGCAGCCTTTGCTATCAAAGGGAGATGATCCTCGGTGTCAGGACTGGAGCAAGTAATAACCTTTACATCCATCTAGGCAGAAATCATGCTTGGAATAACTCGCTGTGAGGCTTACAGTCATTCCATGGTACCCATTCCCAGTGACAATGGCATCAGGAAATTCACCTTCAGCCTTTTGGGCAGCCTGTGATGCCAGGCAGCACCCTGGCCACGGCACACAGCCCCCACGGAGCGCAGACGTCGCGCTCCCCGCGCAGATTTTCCATTATACGTGTGTGAGTGAAATCAAACCTGGGGGATTTCTTCCCAGCACTCCAGACACGCAACCGCACCGCAGAATACAAATGTGAGAGCCGGGCTGGCGCAGGCGTGGGGAGTTCAGCCCCAGGGACGAGCAACAGGCAGGCAAACCTTGGAGGGCAGGAGAGCTCATTAACTCGCTGCTTTAAATAATAACCGTGGTGAGGGTGCTGGTGACGAGTGTCCCTGTAGTGTGCATCTCTGTCTGTGTGGTTTGACAACAGGCGGGAAACAGCACTTGCTTCTTTGCTCCTCGGGCAGCTGCCCTGTAGAATAGCATCAAGGAGGGTGTAGGAAAAGGTTATTTATTTTTTTCTTCTCCTTGGAGATTTTGGACTGATTAAAAAGCTATTTTTGCTATGAAAGCAACAAGGAAAGAAACCCCAGCCATACGCAGCAGGTATAAAAGAATGTTTGATTCTTCCGACAAGTACAATAAGATTTAATATCTTTGCTGCTCGACCCAATATTGTATCACAGGCATCACCGGTGTTGTGCTTCCCAGCATGCCCTAGCATTCCTTCAAGCAAACATTCACAGTAGCAGAAAGTCCAAGAAAAGGCTTGCTCCCTTGAGGATCAAGAAGAAAGCAACAGTGAAGAAAGGTATAGTAGCTATTAATATTAATGTTAAAAGAAGAAGGGAGAGAGAGGACACAGGAGCAGCAAAAAAGCTACTGCTTGTGGCTTTGATGTGTTCATTTTCACAGGACCAATAGTAACATGGAGAATACGGAAAGCAGATAAAGAGGAAAATGAGGAGGTGGAGGTGAGCAGAAGGCAGCTCAGAAAATTGCACAAGCTGTGGGGAGTTTTTCTCGTCTAGACACTTTCACACAGCAAAGGGAGTGGCTGCCATCTGCATCTCCTCAAAAAAAGGAAGGGAAAAAAGGGCTGAGACTGAAAAGGAAATCCACCTTCATGCCTCTCACTTTGGCTGTGGTATGGCTGATCCACACTGAATGCCTGCTGTGGGAGGAGAGAGAAAGCTGAGAGGTATTGTGTCTAAGGAGGCACAACATTAAGGCAGCATGTGAATCCTCATGCAGGGCTCTGTCCTACTGACACAGTGGGAACAGGAGGGAGGGAACTATTTTAGTCCTGTTGACGCTGCTGAAGAGTAAAAATGGAAGTAATTAAAGGCCTATTCTAGTCTCACTTAAATCTTCAAGTCTTCAGGCCAGAATTATATTTGTTACATTGCTTTAATGGTGTTGCACTGATGGTTAGACCAAGTTGTATTTTTTTTTTTTCCTACCCTGAATTTGGAAATGAGCCAGCACTTTTCTGTGGCAGTGCACTCACTTTGCTGAAATTTTGCCTGTGGAAGATTGTTCAGGTCCCAGAAGGAATTTTTCTAAATCCCAAGCAGCCCCACCGTAACCAGTGCTTGGGCAGCTGGGTTACTGCCTTATGTTGTAGGAATAGCAGGTTTGAATCCCAGCATTAGCTGGTCTGAAGCTAGACTGGAAATAAGAATGACTCCTGAACCTTAGGAAAGGTGCCTGATAAATAATGACCCTCAAGTCTTATTGTCCCCTATTTTTTCACTGAGAATAAACCTCAAAACTTCACTGCTGAGGAGCAAGTACAAACTACAGA